GACGCCTTAACCCCCCCCCCCCCCCCCCCCCCGTGATAATGCTGAGATTTAAGAAACTAGGCTATTGTCATCTCTTACCTGCTCTGTCCGTAATTATGCTGCCACCCCGGAGGCACTGTCTGTGTGCTTTTCCATGTGAGGAAAGCCATGTGAGGCTGTTCTGGGGAGCTCACGGGGATTTGGGGTGCCACGCACCCAGGCAGCACAGTGGCCTCTAGTGGCAACCGCTCACATCCAGCATTGGAGAAAGAAACCTGCCGATGAATCCTGAGGGGCCGCCTGCTCCCTAGGACTATTAGGAGCACAATCCGCATTGCCAGAGGAGAGGCATCCCTACGCGAGGGCAGCGCCTTGGTGCCCGGCAGGGTCCTAAGCACGCCCAGGAACCCCATCTGCCCTGAGCAGCCACACCTGAGACCCCCACCCGTGCCCTCTCCACCCATGGCCCTGGAGATCCATTTAAGCTCAGGCCCAGTCCCTAGTTCTGCTTCGGCCGCTGCAGCCCTGGCCCTGTATAGCTTGTGCTATAGGCAGCCCAACTCCAGTGCCCTCTTCTGGTGGGACATCGGAGCTACGTGGCAGCTCTGTCTCCTGGATGTACCTGAGTTGCGTTGCAGCCTTATCCCATCTCCTGCAGCTCTGTAAGCTGAGTGTCCTGCAGGTCTGGGTCCCTTAGGACACGCAGTGAGCAGCCTGCATGCCGAAGGAAAGGTGGCTTATACTATAAACTTTTTTATAAGGGGGAGTATCTTGGGCTTTCTTCAACTTGGTCACCCATTTCTAAAATGTTTGTAGGTCCTTTACAGCTTAGGGAGTCTTTTTCCCTCTGCTGAGTTTGCCTGGAGCTGCCTGAAGAACTTACTAGCACATCAGCTGCTTCAGGAAACCAAGTTGAGCATGTCTGGGGAGATGGGGTCTTGAAGGCTTCCTTTGGACAGAGGTCCTGGAAATAAATCTTGGGAGACTGAGCACAGCCAAAGCTAGTGTTTTTAGTGCTTGGTTTTATGCTGCCTTTAGCTCATGTGTGAGGCAATAGGTTCATATATTTCTTTGCAGAAAAGTCCCCAGATCCTATAGGAAAAGTAGGTGGTAGTTCTCAATGTCACAGTAAAGGTAGTAAAGGTATCCTTCTTTCCTGGAGCAATTGCATCTTTTGGCTTTATCCTAAGACCTCAAGGACCTCATATGAGAAGCAGAAATAAGCACCAAGTCTTGCCTGGTAGTCCATGCTCTCATGCAATCCTCTTGCCCCATTTCCCTGAGGTTTGCTTGGTGCAGGTTAGGAAATCCTTCCATCTCCATCCCAGAAAGTTTGCCTTCAACTGGCCTAGTCTGCTGTGTTGCTGGGAGGGAGGAGAGCTGGCCTGCAGCCCATCAGCAGCAGGAGGGGACCCAGGCAGAAGGTACACCCACATTCTGAGCTCCCTGGATGTTATGAAGCCCATCATCAAAGAAAATGTGAGGCTGGATCTGGGCGAGGATGGGGCCCTTGGGAGCCCCGTCCATGAAGAAAGCCTCATCGATTTCCAGACCCCATTCCCGGAGTGTCTTGATGGCTCGGATGCCCATGTCCCGGCCACTGCGGGCGGTCACCAGGTAGGTGCGGATGGGGGATTTTTCCTGGCTGAATTTCTTGCGCATCTTCCCAAGGTGCATGGCAAAAGCCTTCAGGGGACCCTGGAAGCACAGCAAGACACTTAGGAGTGGATGAGAAACAAGGAGACACCTACTTGGCCTTTACAAGCCACATGTCCCTCCTCCAGGGTTTCTCGGGGCCCTGCAGAGCACAGGATGACTGTAGGGTGCAGGATTACAGAATGCTGGGACTGGTCCCGTGCACTGGGGCACTTGGGAGGAAGGTGGGTGTTGTGCTCATCCTAATCCCAAAGTGACCAGGAAAGTACATCCCAGTGAGCAGTGCCTCTGGGTCTGAGTCCTGCAGGGACTTGCACAGCAAGAGGTCCCACCCTACAAAAGGTGATGTTCAGGGTCACTACAACCCTAGATACTGGGGAGCTGATGCTCACTTACAGGAGACATCAGGCCAGATCCACCTCCAGTGGGACTCCAGATCAGGCCCACACCAGATGTGGTGAATGCAAAGGGAGCCTGTAAGGTGGTTTTTGTTTTTTTTTTTCTTTTTTGGCTGCTCATGACAAAGCAATAGTAGGAAAAATGTTCATGGTGGGTGCAGAGCCTGTGGATGCCCATGAAACTGAGGAGGCTTGCTCACCTCTCCCATAGGCACATCCTCCATTGCTTGCTCATACTGCACTGCCTCCTCCAGCCCCTGCTCTTGGAAGATCTGGTCTGTCTCACTGGAGAAGAGCACAGCATCCCCATCGAACACCACACGGAGTGGGGTGCTGGGGGCCTGCACCTCCTGCTGAAAGACGAGCGCTGCCGAGACGCCTACGGAACAGAACAAGGTGGGGGTCAGGAGGTACACCCCTCCTGGGGGCAGCTGTCGTGCATGGACATCTGCCATGGCCCCATCCCACACTGCAATATCGGGATCTCCAAGGCTTTCTGTGGAGGTCGGCCCAGCCTTTCTAGGGCTGTGTTATTCCCTAATAGGGATGAGTGAGAAAGCGCTGTTGATCACAGACTGATGAGATACTGAGACCTGCTAAGAGGTGATGGGTGGTTGTGTAGGCATGAGGAGTCCTCCTCCTGATGCTCGATCACCCTGCCAAACCTGGCTTTAATGCCCAGATTTAGCACTCCATGCTGTGAGTCATAGGGACTGGCACCTCCACTTGATTGGGGTAATTGGCTTAATTACAGGTCTCTTCCTACATCTGTTCCCTGTCTGCCCTCATCTTTGGATCCAGGCCTCTGGATGAAAGACACTTGTCAGAGCAATGATTCTCTTCAGTGAGGCTTCAGGAATGTGCTGTTCAGAGTAGGGAAGCCCAGGTTGCAGATGGCTTTCTCCTGACCTTGAAGGACCTTGGCCAGCTGATGTGCTTATACCCAAGCAAAGTAATAAGGAGGCGATCGACCCCATTACTGCTGCTGTGAGACTGCACTCCCTCTGATCCAGGTCAAGCATGTGCTTATATCTATCACCGAGCACATGGTAACTCTGCATGTACCAAGAAAGCAAATTTCTACAGCATACTCTTGAAGCCCTGGGAACTGCCAATGCACTCTCACTGATTCAGAGAACAGCCATGGGCAGCATCTTTGGTTAGAAAGACTTAAATGACAGGCAGGGTATGACTAGCCCATGGCAGAGCTATGGCCAGAATTATGCATAAAGCACTCGGTGACTTGTGAAGGCATCTTAAGAAACCCTGGTGTGTTTGCAGGCTGCTGGTGGCGACAGAGGGGGAGATTGAACTGTTCAGGATGAGACAGGTAATCAATGTGCCATTCACTCCTTTGCCCCTGTGAAAGCATGGGCTCTGGCATTACCTCTGGGTACTGAGCTGCTTGGGAGAAATGTGGTGGGTTTGGTGACATGTGATGAAGGGGAAAACATACCTCTCCGGAGAGCATTGCAGACGTCTGTCCTGTCAGCTGAGAGGAAGAGCTTGACCCTGTGGGACTTCAGGTACTGTGTAGAGTCTTCATTGCTGACGAAGCAGAACTTGGAGATTTCCAGGCCTTTGGGTCAGGGGATATAAGCAAAGTCTGTTATGGGGCAACATTCTCCTCACAGATCCCCCTTCCCCAGGACTCTGTGCTTTACTGCAGAGCTTGGGGCAATTAACATTCCAGTGCTGTGTGAGGAACCTGCTCATCCTGCATCTTCTTGCCCTGTTGCTCCTATGAAACTTCAGAGCATGGTTAAATATTTCCTTCATCCCCCCACCTTAAATGAGCCTTCCTGACAGCATGCTGGGATTTAGGGTTTTTTAAGAACTCTTTTTCTTCAGGAGCTGCCTGAGGATGCCTTGGCTATGCAAAATGCTGCCAGATCCCCTCGTGTGAAGGATGCGGTTGAAGGGAGCCAGGCTCTGCCAAGGAGCCTGTACCCTGAGTGTGTTCCAGCAGCTGGGGCAAGCTGCAGGAATTGGGCTTGTTCCAAAATAACCCCTTCCTCTTGTACTCCCTGGCTCTGCATTTGCCACTGACGGTCCACAGTGGTGCCTCATCTGCTTTGCAGCCTCCCTGGGAGGGAAGCAGGCACCACTGAGGATGGGGTTCACCTTACCATAGTGCTTGGCACTGTTGATGATGCGCACACCGCTCTCAGGGCTGTTGTTTGAGAGCACCACGATATCAAAGAGGTCCTTCTCTGCTGGGTTGCTCTCCAGGATCTTCTTGTTCACAAGCTGCACTGCCTGTGAGGAGATGAGGCTGTTTGGAGGGGCATGACTGGAGTGGCTTTGCTTAGGACTCGTTTGCAGTTAAGGTTAGTGGGTTTTACTACATCTGTCAGCTACGGCAAGGCAGGCATGTTATGGAGAACCAGACAGCAACCATCCTTCAAAAGCCATTGCCAGGAGAGTAGGGAGCAGGATATCCCACCAGGGGGAGGTGGACATGTGGGACTGGTGAGGAGTACAGATCTCATTGCACTGCAATAAGGCCAAGAGGCCAGGGCAGGTACCCTGTGGTGGGGGTTGAGTCCTCAAGCCAGGAAAGGTGAGCCTTCTCCCCATCCTGTAAGTGTCTGCATGTGTTCCTTGCCAGCTGGGGGGGGCTCACCTGGATGAAGGCAAAAGCTGTGCCCGGTGGCAGGGGCTTGTCCTGGTTGGCCTGCTGGTGCCTTGTGTACTCCTCCTTGCCCTTCTCTAGGTAAAGCTTGTGCTCTTCCTCCAAGCTGAAGATGGCTCTGGTGGTCACTGCAATGACGAGTGCCTCACTGAGATCTTTCTGCAGGACATGGGGGAAAGACTGGTTAGGGGACAGCAAAGAAGGAGCTTGTGGAGGTAGGGTGAGCCTACAGAGGGCTCCACTGACCAGGGCGTGGGGTTGGATGTGGGAGGCATCACAGTTCCTGATGCTAGACTGCCTTTGAAGAGGTGCCACCAGGCCTCTTCCAGGGGCAGGCAGTTGTGAAACCCTAACCTGTCTGGGAAGTGCCATATGCTCTGAGGACAGCTTACACCAGAGGGGATTGCTTCATAACTTTGCTGTTTGTGGGCACAGTACAGCCATGGTCATCTGTTTGTGCTGAGCTGGGCACTGCTAGGTGTCTTTGTGCATACTGGCGGTTTTACCCTTCATTTGTGTCTTCTGGAGAGTCTAATAAAACCTCTGTATATGTAGAAAAGTTGCTGCTTTCTCCCTGGATCCTCCAAAATTTAAGTGTGAGCAAACGTCTTGTCCATGCAACCGGAAGTTCAGCCCTGCAACCTCTTGCCATGTGGAAATCACATGGACATCACTGGGACCAGGTGCCCAGCAGCCCTGGAATAAGTCACTTCTGAAACCTAGGCACGAGCAATTCAGGCCACCACATCTTTGGGTTGTGGTGTGTCCTCTCCTGCAGTGGCATTTCAAAACTTGTTGTAGAAATACAGGATGTGTTTTGTAATGAACAGCCTTTTACCTGTTTCACATCGGTGTTTATGACTGTGCTTTCAGGCTCTGCCATCTTCGACTTTCAGCCTTAAAGATAAAATATGCAATTAAACTGATATAATATAGCAAATCTAGAGGGAGGGAGAGTGAGATAGGGGACATCCTACTTGCCAACTGGAGCAGCCCAAATAAACCTGCTTATGCGGACAACAGCTCTGCTCTGGGAAAACCTGGTCTAATAGTTCAAATTAAATATGATGGAAAAGTGGCTTTTCAACCACAGATTCCAGCTCCCACCCCCGAGTATTTTCCTCTGGGGGAACTGCTGAAGGCAGTTGAGGAGCTCTTTTCCCAGCAAAATAAGTCTGGTTTTAAAAGCCAAAATAGGTCAGATTTTATGGATAGGCTTCTAGTTCACATCCTTCTTGCTACTTTTGCTTGAATGGTGAATCTGTATCCACAAATACGCAAGTTCACTGTGTGTGCAGCTGTAAAAGGTCTAAGTAGAGAGGTATGGTGAGGGCTTGGGTGCAGTATGGGACCCCCCCTCAATGTGGCTGGTCTGCTCCTCCACAGCCCTGTGAGCCAGCTAGCCTACACTGAAGGCCTCGGTGAAGGCTGTGTTAACCCATGTCTGGCAGATGAAAGGCTTGTGGTGGTTACATGGTCTGCCTGTGCCTAGCAGCTGAATCATAAACCCCTTTTATTATTGTACACCCAGGTCCTGTGGTTTCTGTAACCACCATGCCCTACATTTCACTTATATGCACTAGTCAGTGTTAAAAGTAGACTTAGGATTCAGCCTGTGGGATGGGAACTGTTCCCATTCCCATGAAATGGGATCCCATGGCAGTTATTTCCATCCAGTGGCTCCTACAAATACACTGCGGAGTTTCTCTGTGGAGCAAAGGCACCAAAGACTGTTCTACACTGATGTGCTGGGGATGGCAATGGGGTTAAAAACGCATTTACCAGTTCATGTCCCACATGATTACTAGGTTGGGGGGCTGTGCAAGCATAAACCAAAGCCAGTGTAAAGGGCAAGTTAGGCTGTCCAGAGAGACCTTTAATTCTGCCCAATTTTCTTTAATTAATTTTTATTATTCAGGGACTGCAAAGTGTCGCCTGGGCTGGTAGGTAACACGCTTGGCTGATATGAGCCCTAAGAACCAGTCTTACCATGTGCACCCCATGACTGCCCCTAGAGTGGAAAGCTGTGCTGGCAGGGCTACTCCCCCAGCCAGGGGGTCTCTGGAAAGCCAGGAGATGCTGAGCATCCCTCTGCTTCCTCCACCTGTACCTCATGCTGGGAAGAGGTCTCCCAGAGAGCAGGGCAGAGGGTGATAAAGAGGGTGGGAGAAACTGTCCTCTGACAGAATTTCACCCAAATACTTTTCCGAAAGTGAAAATTAAAGGAGAGGAGGCAGTGGAGCTGAGCAGCCGTTCCCGGAGAGAGAATACCACCTCTCATTTCTGCCCTGTTCTTCCAAGTACTGCAAACCAAACCCGACTTCTCCATTCCACCTACTTGTCGCTAATAACTACAGTATTGTTTGCACACAGATATGCATATATGCACACATTTCCGTTGCGAGCAACTCCCATGTACGCGGTGCCAGGCACACAGAAAAGCATTTCGGGTGGGTGCTCGCTGGCGCCGCAGCTCACCCTAGAGCTGCGCAGCACGGAGCAGACAGCACCCCACCGCACGCAGCCAGGATTTTGTCAGAGAGGAAAGCACACACTCACCGTGAGCGCTGCCGCTGCTCCCCGGCGCAGCCTGTCCAGTGGCAGCATCCCAGCTCTGCCCAAGACGCTGCTGTTTATATTTCCCCCTCCCGGTGCTGACAGGAAGCGGGGCGGCACTGGGCTGGGATGCAGCTCCGCTCCCCGCTGTGCTGGGATTTGTAGGCAGCAGGGCCAGACTGCATTTCCCAGACGGCACTGCACAAGAGGCTCAAGGCAGCTCAGGTTTCTCCGTGGCCATGGCCAGAGACAGAGCCGTGCTGGCAGCCCTGGTCCTACTTTTTGGGCTCCCTTGGAGCTTGAGCTCAGTCGGCACTCGCTGCCCACAAGCACTGCAGCGCTGTCTGTTTCTGTAGGGAGGTATTTATAGCGTGCCTTCAGACCTCTTATTTTCCCCTTGAACACGTAATGGTTGTGGTTTTGACTGGAAATACAGGGGTACGTGTTGAAGAACGGCTTGCAGTGTATACAGGCAGATGTAGGGAGCTGGGCTAGGGAGAAAGGCTGGTGCAGAGCATGGCAGGGTCAGCGGGGGCTCACTACATACACAATTTTACTGTAATGTTTTATGTCCTTTTCCCTTCTTTTCTGAAAGCTGCCTCTTAAACACTGCTTTCTGCAGGGGTGATTTTTGGGCTGGGATCTTGCTTTTCCAGGTGGGCTGTGGAGCATCCAGTCCTGTGAGGCTCATGATGCTGAAGTATTTCAGCATCCCCTTTCTGCCCACGAGTGAGATTTGGGGCAGAGGAATGGGGGCTGCACAGAGGAGATGCTGCCATCCTGCAGCTTTTCCCTTGCCCAGCTGGGGCATGTCCCCGCCCTGCTGCTGGAAGATGACCCATAGCAGCAGCCTTCCCAGCCTGGGTCCCTACAAGGAGACCAAACTCACCTGCATTAGGGCCAAGCAGCCATCTCCCTGTATAGCCCCAAGTTATCACTAGCATTACCAAAGTGTGAGCTGCAGTCAGGGTCCTGTGCAGCTTGACTTCACCAAGATGCTTCTTTCTAGCAAACAGCCTGCTGGAAAGACTGCTGATAATGCTCAGCTTGTGGCATGTATATGCAAACTCCTTTTCCCCAAGTAATTTTACTGGGCATCTTCCCTTTTCCCCTGCTTCCCTTATGCATTTCTCCCATGTGTTCTCTGGGACTGCCAGATTAGAGCAGAAAGTGTTTTGACATCTATGTCCCCCTGCAGAGCTTTGCTGCAGCATTCCCGTAGCATCTCCTGCTCCTGAAGATGATGCTTCTCTGAACAGCAGGAGTGGAGGGCACGTGCGAGCAGAACTGTGTCTTGGGTGGCTGAGGGGAAGCCTCAGCACTTCTGCCGTCTCCAGACTCCTGCTGTGGCAATGCCTTGGTGATCATGTGAAAATCTGGCAGGACTGGTGAGCCAGGGTGGCCAGGCAGAGCTGGGACAGGTCTGGTTTCTGGAGCCTCTACCCCCATGTCTCTGTCAGCCATCAGGCACCAGCGGTATCTCTCCCTGCTTACAGCACCACCCCAAATTTCTGTGGTAAGAATGTGGGTTTTGGGCTGACTTTGCTGAACTGGCAGCAAGGGAAGAAGTGTGCAAGCATAAATTTAACACGACAGGGATGCTAGTGAAGTCACTCCTGGCCATGTGCCTGGCACTTCTCCCGTTGGTGCTGGGGGATGGAGCCACCCAAGCAGTATCCCCATTCTCTGTTTCTCTGTGTTGGAGCAGAGCATCCCTGTTCATCCCTGCTGCCACACACATTTCACAGGTCCTTGCATGGTGCATTAAACCACTGTGTGCCCCTGTGGGCCAATGAACTGGGCTCCCCAAGTGCAGAGCTCACCAGGGATGGATGCAGCATGGCATTCATCCTCTTGCAGGAATCTGTCCCCTTGTACTAAGTGTCTGCAGCCACGTGGTCCAGCCCAGCATTGCTGTAGGGATAACTTAGAGAAGCCAATTTGTTGTGGCACAGAGCCGGTCAGCAATGCCCACAGGCTTCTTACAGGCAGGAGGGCAGCTTTTGCTTCCTGGTCTGTCAGGGAGTTCCCCTCTGGCTTTTCCCCTGCGTGAGCAGCGCTTGGGTCAGCAGTGAGGTGGGGCCGAAGGCGCTGCTGGGGCCGCCCGGTTCCTGGGCTGTCAAAGCAGACTTTCCAGTTTCGTCTGTGCTGTGCAGCCACCATCCTCACTGCACCCTCTGATCTGCACCCGGTGGGGTCCCATCTCATCCGCAGCATGCCCCTGCCACACGCAGTGGCTGTGCCCAGAGTCTGTGCGACAGGGAAGGGAGTCTGAGCTGGGAAGGATACTCGTTGGTAAGTCTGTTTTCTCGGGAGCCTGGCCAGGACAGTATGGGAGTGAGAAGCAGGGCTCCCCCAGCCCCTTTTCCAGGGATGCTCGGTGCTCCCTGTAAGGCCCACTGAGACTGGACTGCCTCTCCTGGTCCACAGCAGGTCCATCCCCATTGTCCCCAAAACAGTGGCTCATGTCACACCACGGGGCTGGGATGTGCTGTTTTTAAATCAGGGCCAGTGTTGCACCAATATGACACAGCCCATGGGGGGCCTGGCAGGGAGAATGTGCTGAGACACCTAATTCTGTGCTGGGTGGGTGCCTGCTTGCCTGGGCTGTTGTGTCCACCCACCTCCACAGCCTGAAGCCATAGCCTGGCACCTCCTAAATACCACAGGCACGTCACCAGCCACCACTTTCCGCACGCAGAGACAGGAGAAACCAATCATTAAAGCTGCTGGTGCTGAGGCTGCAAGTAGAGCTTCGGTGCCCAATGGCACAGACTTCTTAGGTGGCCCTGGGCAAGTCATTTAGCATGCACCTCATTGCCCCAGTCACGATGCCGCAGGGATGACAGCAATTCTCATGTCTCTGCAGCCCTACGGCCACATGTGGCAGAGCCCACTGTTGGAAAATTAAAGGCTCTGGCTGGTTTCATGGACTCAGTGGAGGGAAGTGCAGACATGGTTTCTTCCCAGGATGATCCCTCTGCAAGGAGCCATGGCCCCGTGGGGTGGGCAGAACGCAGGCAGAACAAGATGGTGTTGGCTGCTTGCGCAGGGGCCCACAGGGACAGAGGGCAGGCAGCTGGGGCAGCCAAGGCAAATAGGCACATACCTGCCAGCCTCAGTCATGGCACTTGGACCAGGTGCCACCACTGCCATGATAGCTGCAGACATGCTGGCTGCTCAGCTGGGCTCCTGGCACACCTCTCCTGCTGCCGCTCCTCACCTGAAAGGAGGCAAGAAGGAAGTGTTGGCTATGAGGAAGTGTTCATGCTAGAGTAAGAGCCTTGCTGTGGGGAGAGCAGTAGTGGAAAACCACTCTGCTTTAAATTTGAATCCTCCCCTTAAGCTGCGTCAGTGTTGCCATGTGCACAGGTTGAGCTTACGCAGTTTTCCAGCCGTCATGACCCCAGCCTGGTGGCACCACTGTCACCTGCAGTGAAGGCAAGCCCAGGAGCAAATCCTCTCATTCCTCAGCCCTGCAAGAGGGTGGGAAATAGTGGAGAAAGGGTGTTAGCTAATGGTGGGGCTGAGCAAACCCTTCACCGGCCTGGCCAGCGAGAAGCCAGCTCCAAACAGCTCTTGTTTTTTTCGCCTATGGCTTGATAATCCCTCTTCTCAAGACCAAATGAAACTCCCTTATCCAGTTGCCTACTCCCTGTCCTTTCTGAAGGCAGGTTTACAAGGATTTAAATAAGGCTGTAGGTGAGGGGCCATCTGGCCCAGAGCCCTCCCTGCCCATGGCTCCCTCTGGCTCCATTTCACACCTCATTGCCAAAGTGGCCAAGCCCTAAATGCTGGCCTCTATGTTTTAATTGTGTTTGCTCTCATTAATGCTCTGGGCCACTGGTAGCGCACATGCTACTGGAAAGGAATTCCCCACCCTGTTAATTTTGCTTGTGTCCCCAGGTCACCCCAGCTTAGCCATGGCACTGGCAGCCAGCAAAGGCAGAGCAACAGCCTCCCCACTCACCGGCAGGCTCCCGGCGCCCACCACCACTACTATCCATCCCGGCTTCTGGGGGGGCCGGCCTAGCTGGAGACCACCACCACTACTATCCATCCAGGCTTCTGGGGTGGCCGGCTTAGCTGGATCCCATGTGAGTATGGTGGCGCTTGCCCTGCTCTCTCAGGCAGTGTTATCTGGTGGGGCTCCTGGGCTCTGAGGCTGTGTAACCACTTCTTCCTCCCTCCAAATCTCTTTTTCCAGTGGGGTCCATCAGGGTGGGGCTGCTGCAGAGTGGTACTGCACTGCTATAGAAGTGCAGGGCATCCTTGATGCCCATCTGGGGAATGGTCTCCAACCACAGCCTCCCTGCATGGGGCCTGTCCAGGTTTATAGGGGCAGTTTTGAAAGCACAACTCCTTAATACTGCGGCACCAGGAAGGGGTTTAAATGCACTTTATATGTTTTTGCTTGGTTTTAACTCTTCTGTCCATCTCTGCTCCCCAAATGTCACACCAGTACCCAAATGGGCACTCATCGCTGTGGCTGTGGCAGTGGCCATTCTCCTCCTCCTGTTCCTGATCTGCATCATCAAGTGCTGCTGTGGCAAGAAGAAGCCCAAGAAGAAGGAGAGAGTCAGCTTGCATGCTGTCAGCAGCTCCACCATGGCCAGCCTTGTGTGTCCTGCTTTCCCCTCTTCCCCACCTCCCTCCTTCCTGAGGGGTTTGCTGCCATACTGCCTGGTCCTGGGGGTGGTGGAAGCATGGCATGGCCAAGGATGTGGCTGAGCACATCTTGAGGGTAGTCCTGCTTTCTGCCACAGGTCCAGCCCGAGATGGAGGACCTGGAGCAGGTCGTGGAGCAGACAGGGCGAGGAAAGCTGCAGTACTCCCTGGAGTACAACTTCCGTGCGCAGGAGGTGGGGATGCTCATGGCCATGGCAGTGAAAATGCTTTATTCTTGCATGGTCCCTCTTTGCTGCCTACTGAGGTGCACTCTACCCTTTTGCACCCCTTCCGCTACCTGCAGCCTGCTGTCTCTCACACCTGCGTGGCATGTAGGCATCCTCCCTTCTACATTCAGTTGCTTTCCACCAAGCCCCCAGTCATCTGGCCCCATCCTCCTCCACCCAGTGACCTTGTGCATCACTCCTTTTAAGCTGAAGGTTGGTGTGAAGCAGGCAGCTGAGCTGAAGGCCATGGACAGTGGAGGCACATCCGATCCATACGTGATTGTGTACCTAACGTCCGATATGAAGAAGAGGTATGAGACCAAGGTTTACCGCAAGACCCTGAACCCTGTCTTCAATGAGAGCTTCATTTTCCAGGTAGGAAGCTGCAGCTGATCATGTTTTTTAGTCCCATCAAGAGTGTTTTGTGGGCACTGCTCCCTGGGCAAAAACCTCTCCAGGCAGGGAGTTGCCTTCACAATCAAGATGTGGAAGCACCAGAGAGAAAGACTTTTTATTGCATCTGCTGCTTTGTCCCATGGGGCAGGGCTGCCACCAAGGAATGAGTCCAGGCTTTCGGGTCTTCCCCTCAGGTACCCCAGGCAGAGATGCCTGAATCCACGCTGGTGATGCAGATCTATGACTTCAACCGCTTTACCAAGCATGACATCATTGGTGAGGTCCGGCTGCCCCTGGCCAGCATCAGCCTGCAGCACGTCATTGAGCAGTGGAGTGACCTGGGGGCAGCCAGTAAAGTGGAGGTTGGTCCTGGCGGATGGGAAACTCTGCAGGGAGGGATGCACTGTTGCTTCTCTTGCTACCACCCTGAGAAGCAGGCTCTTAAGGGCAAACATGAGGGAGGGGAAGACCCAGGAAACCCGGGGCCAGCCTTGTGCTCCAGCCTCAGGTGAACTGGCTCTCTGCTGGGTGCTTATTGCTGGCATCTCTCCAACAGGAAGAACAGCTGGGTGAGATCTGCTTCTCACTGCGCTATGTCCCCAGCACTGGCAAGCTGACGGTGCTCATCCTGGAAGCCAAGAAGCTGAAGCGTATGGATTCTCATGGGCTCTCAGGTCAGCAGGGACTGCTCATGCTCAGATCTCCCTACTCCTTAATGCTGGCACCAAGAGCTGCAAAGCCTTAAAAGCTTTTGGTGCCAAGACCTGCTTCCTGCTGCCACCACTATGACCAGCTCTTGGCTGGCTCCCAACATTGCCCAGCTTGGATACACCAGCTTTGGGCAGAGCTGGAGGTATCTGCCAGGAGGAGATGTCATGGCTGGATGGTATGGGGAGCTTGTGGCAGGAGGAAATGAGCTCTGGGGTGGCTGGTATGGGAAAGAGGGGTGGATGCTCAGCATGAGGAGTGACAAGTGGGACGCCATGCTCTGTCTGGGAATAGCCCAAGGCAGTTGTTTTGTGGCCGAGCTCCTCAGTCAAAAACTGTCACTTGTGCCAGCTGTGTCCTCTCTCCCCTCAGACCCTTTTGTGAAGGTGCATCTCATCCTGAACAGGAAGAAATGGAAAAAGAAGACAACTAGTGTGAAGAAAAACACCTTAAGCCCTTACTTCAATGAGATGTTTGTTTTTAAGGTGCCTTTCAATCAGATCCAGGTAGGTTTCCCTACTGCTCTCAGTCCTGAGCGGGTCCCCATTGTGGTGAGACCCCTCCCACTGACCCTCTTTCTTGTGTCTACCCTCTAGAACGTGGATGTGGTCATCTCCATCTGGGATCATGACAAAGTGACCAAGAACGAGCCCATCGGCAAGCTCTTCCTGGGCTGCCGAGCCACAGGCAACCAGCTGCGGCACTGGTCTGACATGCTGTCCAACCCCCGCCGACCCCTCGCCCAGTGGCACAGCCTGCAGCCCCCCGATGTGGTTGACAAAGCCCTGGGGCTGAAGTCCCACCTCAAGCTGCCCCTGCCCTCCAGATAGTGGGGGTCTCCTCCTCCACCCGGGGAAGAGGATGCAGGACTTGCAGGCAGGTGATGGGCTTCTGTTCAGCAACATCTAGATGTGTTGTCCACTGCTCAGTGTCAGCAAGGAGGGGACTGGAGGCTTTTTTTGGCCAACAGATGATCTTGCTGCTGATGCCTGGAGCAGGGCTTGGCACCGAGGGCAAGGCTGAAGTGGAGCAGAGGATACTAGAAGGGACACTGTGGGTGCAGGAGCTGGCTCAACTGGCCAGGGGGACAAATACACAGAGCTTCAAGAAAATGCAAAATCAGAGTCCACTGATATTTTTCAAGTGGAGGATTAATATGCCAGCAGCCTGTGGTGGGCAGTTTCTTTGGTTGTGAGTAACTTGGCTTGAGTTTTTGGGAAGGCTTTATGCATCCTGTGAAGGTTTTTAAACAAGACCAAGATCTCGAAGTAACCTAAGAGGCTAAGAGGAGAGAAGGAGGACAGGCTGATAAAGAAGCGTGTTGGAGATACAGGACTAGTTCTTTAACACCTCTGCGTAAAATAGGCGTGCTCTGTGTCCTGCCTAGAGGCTAAATGAGACAGCAAAGTCAGCCACTGTTTGTCCACATGGCCTCACTCTTCGTCCATTTTTAGCGCGTGCTAACTTGTGCACCCCAGGGTGTGACTCGGTATGGGCTTCATGAGCAAGCATCATCATGGACCATGCAGATGAGGATGCACAGTGTCAGCTCCATCCACCCTACGTGGTTCTTCAGTACTAGTGCAGCAAGGTTTGCTGGAGCTGCTGCTCTCGCTTTCATGTCATGATCACACTACCCTGATGAGGGCTTAGTTACAGGTTTCTTGTAATCTGGGAGGTTTTTGTGGCCACGTGTCTTGTCCTGCCCTGCTTCATGGAGCCTTGGGGTGAGAGCTGTGTAGTAAAGATCCTTCCTAGAAGGAGGAGGGCATCGGAGAAGTGCCACCTTCTCTATCCTTGAGTATGCTGCAGTTTGGTGTGGCTTGAGAGCAGCTCCCCTGAGCCACCTGCAGCTCACTACATTGGGCCGGAGGAGGGAATCACCCTTTCTCTGAAATACTTCAGCTACAAAGCAGCTGTAGCACCAGAAGATTTGGGCTCATATCATGGAATTTCAGCCCAAAAGACAAAAGTAATCTGCACCATGGGGAGGTGTGGGCACAACTCTAACAGCTATTGCCTGAGCTCTGGAGGGGAGAGCTGGGGCATTAATGAAGAGCCATTAATATTGAAAAGCGGTTAATCTGCAATTACCTGCAGCTCCATGGAGCTGAGAGTTAAACAAACATAGTGAAGCTGAGGAATATTATGAAAACTCTTGATAGAGATTAATGACCTGAGTTTAGCCGTAAAAAGCTGCTGTGTCTGCTTCTTGATAAATATTCTCCAGGCTTCACCATGGCTGTGAGGAGGGAGGAAATGACAGGGTGGTTTTGAGATGGCTGTAACAAGTGGACTGTGCCTTCTGCTGGAGAAATAGCATCTGCTGGCAGCCGCTAATGAGATGGAGGAGGAAATCAGTCACCTGAGAAAGACTTGTAAATGGATGCTTTAAAGCCTCAGCCTTCAGTCTCAGCCTTAAATCAGGCTGGAACAGGCTGTGCAGAAGGGAGCATCTCTGAATTGGGTTTGGGGTTCCGAATCCATTGCCAGATTGGGGTTTTTTTGTTTTGTTTTGGTTTTTTTTGGTGATGCTGTGTGATTTAGGGCCATGCTGGACCCAGAAGAGCTTTAGGGAACAGGCATTTTTTATTTGTGAGTGTTTTTTCCAGCTCCCTTTTCTGAAGTCATGGCCTTGGGGTTCATTGCATAATTTACATGGCCAGGCATAAAAGAACATGCATATTAGTCCCAAAATGGACCTGGTTGAAGAAGGTGCAAGGACGTCCCATCCTTGAGAAATGTTACCCGCAGTACCAGTGCCCGTCGCTCGTCTCTACAGCTTTGGCTCTGCTTGGAGCCCAAATCACCAGTGCAGTCCCATGGACAAGGGAAGCCTGTGGTGCTTTTAGGACGGAAGCCAGGGAAACTAGGGCAGAGCACCTCTCTCGTCTGGCTCTGGGCATCCTGGGGTGAGCATTGCTGTAGTAAAACTCAGCAAACCCATTTGTTTGCTGAAGAGGGAGAGGTGAGTGGGTGATCTCCACCCAGCTCCAGTTTTTAATGGACTGCCAAGGCTGCTTTCTTCCACTGTCATTGCTTTTCCTTCTCAGTCTGCCTTGTGCTCTTGTAACAGGGCTTTGAGCACTTTCCTCCTCTGGCAGGATCCTCTTAGCATCTGCCGGTAGCTGTTTGAAGCAGGGCTAGTGGAGCTGGGCTTCGTTATCGTGAAATAAGCCATGGCCTTTCAGTTCTTAAAAGGGGCCTATAAGAAAGATAGGGAGAGACTTTTTAGCAGGGGCTGTTGCGATAGGATGAGGGGCAATGGTTTTAACCTAAAAGAGGGGAGATTCAGGCTGGATGTGAGGAGAAAATTCTTTACAATGAGGGTGGTAAAATATTGGCACAGGTTGCCCAGGGAGGTGATGGATGTGCTGTCCCTGGAGACATTCAAGGCCAAACTGGATGTGGTTCTGAGCACCCTGATCTAGTTCAAGATGTCGCTGCTCATTGCAGGGGGTTTGGACTAGATAACCTTTGAAAATCCTTTCCAACCCAAACTGTTCTGTGATTCTATTCTGTGATTCTTCTATGAATCTATGAATCTATGAAAGTGAACACAGCCTGCTTGTGAGCCTATTCACAGGGAGGTGGACAGCCCTGTCTTGTGTGCAAGCATCTCCTTTTCACCTCTTTTGGCCTTTGTAAGGTTAGTTGTCCCTTATCTTACCAAGGCCATATGTCTGAGCACCTTCTGCCTCACCAACACTCCTCGTGTACTTGGAGGGGCCTGCAGCAGGAGGATTCCCTGGTGGAGGGTGCAACAAGAAGAGAAATTAAAAGGAAGGAGAACCAGCTTGTGTCTGTGCTGGATTCCCACGTCTGCATCTAGAGGGCAGGGCAGGTACATGCTGTGAGCTGGGTCTCGGTGTCAACTGGTCTGTGGCCTCGTTAGAGCCTCACCAGCAAGGATTTCTTCTGAAGATGGAGTGTGTGTGAGAGAGGGAGAGCAAGCTGTGATATTGTGGTGCAAGCGCGTTCCCATTGCCACGGAGCCATTGGCAGCCGTGCAGTGATGCTGGCCTTTTCCAGGAGGCAGGAGCCAGCCCTTGCCTGATCCTGCACTGCCGGGGTAAAGGGGGTTTTGCTGGTGGGTTAAGGGGGTCAAAAGCAGGTATCCAAAGCCAGACAGCACTGTGCAAGGTGCCTGGGTGCTGGGTGAGGCATTTGTTCCTCTGCTTTATGCAAGGGACAGTCCCTCTGCATTTAATTAGCAGCTTTGCAGGTCAGTGGCAAGAGGAAAAGCAGGGCTTGGGCCAGGCAAAGGTCTGTTAAAGGAAGCAAGAAGTACCGAAAATGGAGGTGTTTTGTATTAAGATTTATAATCTCAATTATTTACATGCAGATCCGAGACTTCTGACCTCCAGAAGTCCCTCCCAAAGCAAACTATTCCCCTGTTCAGTGTTTTTTATGATATTTTTCCTGCACTTCAGGAAATCAAGTGAGAGCGCTGCACCAGGAGAAGGCTGAGCCTTATACATGCTTGTCACTAGTCATCTGCCATGAGACAGAAATGATTATGGGCTGTCATCGTTCAGCCTGGGTATGGGTTGGCTGTCCTCCAGCCACAGATTTTTTGGCTAGTCTCACAGTTTCTGAGAGCTGGAGAGTATCTAAGCTCTTCTTACCAGCAGCAAGCGTGCCTGTTTTATAAATATTTGTTAGCTAGCATCATTACATCTTGCAATTTTATGGGCAAAACGTGTACTTAGCCATGCATGGGTTTCTTTTTTAAAAGCTCCAGCTTCTGGATTTGTCATATGCAGGTTTGCACTTTTTTCTATTGAAGAACACTTTTATCCTTTGTGGGTGGGGAAATACCTGAGGATGCCCTCCAGCTCGAAACCCAGAGGAAAAGCAAGAGGATGGTGGATACTGCACCCAGCATCCTGCCCTTGCCTACAGTAAAGCACTGTGGTGGTGCTGGGGAACTTTGCTGAGGATTCTGCACCAACACAGGATGGGAGGGATGGCTGGTCTCAGCTAATCAGCCTCTGGGAAACTCCAGTGGGAAAAAGGGGTGCTGGGAGAGCCCCCTTACTGGGTGATGATGGGAAAGGGTGGATGGGAGAGGTTGTGCCTGGGTGCTGGGGTCTCCAAGGGGCGTACAGGGAGGGGAGGGGGAATGGGAGGTGGGCTGTGGGATGGTACTGACCTTGGGAGAGTTTGTGATTTATCACTCTATTTCTGGAGATTTATGGCCACTTTTTGGTTTTGTTTTTAACTGATACCCTTTCTCGCTGCTGCTTCATTTTGGCACAGAGAGCCTGGAGGATCTTTTGAGAGCAAAGACATGTTGCAACCATACTCTTTTGAGCACACAAAGTCTCAGCCTATTCTCCAGACATGTTCTGGGTCATGTCCTTGTCTTCAGCAGGCTTTGAGGATGTGCAGACACATGGAGGATTGTGATGAGGTGTCAGGTCACTGTGGTAATACTATCTAGGGGCAGGCTTGGTGGGAATGCCAAAGGGATCACCTCCTGGATGCATCAGCTGCTGGGCACAGACCAGTGTTGGGCAGAAGTTCTGGCTTTTCAGATGGCCTGCCAGCTCAGCCTGGGGCCATGGAGACAGGGCCATGCTGTGGTAGGGTCTGAGGCACCTTCTGTGCCAA